ATTCTGGAACGTGCATTATTTTCACTGTTTTCTCATTTAAATCATACTGAGTGTAGAATTTTTAAGGTGAACACAACAATGTATTCTTTGTCACTATACTATACCTTACCTTACCTTACCATACCATACCATACTACACTGCACTTCTCTTTCCATATATCTGTACATTATTTTCCAAAGGCACACTCAAGTGTAACAGGAAAGACGCTTGTTTGTCCTGGCTGCCCAGAACCAAAATAATTACACAGAAATCATAGTCATTAAAACACTGCTTGGCCCATTAGCTCTTGCTTCTTTTGGCTCTTAGAGTAATTTAACCCATTTATATTAATCTGTATATCACCATGTGGCATGTCTGACTCTGGCAGCTCCATGATGTCTCTCTGAATCTGCTTTGGATATTTAGAGTCCAGGGTGCATGGCCTAGGTCAACGTATGAATGAAAAGGACCACAGTCTATCTTATGGTCCAAACTCCCAGAAGATCTGACAGCTCAGCCAACCTGTTCCTTCTGTTCGGAAGGCAATGTACTTACCATGGCATGATCTCCCTCACACTTTCCCAGAGCATCATAAGAGGAGAAAACTAGAAAAATCCTAAAGTCTACCTCCTAATGGTTCCCCTTAGTATGACCCTGCTGGGACTTGGCATAATAGTAGCTCCTCTACTAGATGAGCAGAGATTAAATGATTAGGAAGCACAGGCCTTCCCAGCTATGACCTTCCTACCCTAGGGGAAGACAAGATTCTCATCAAGGAAATGTGTATTTTAATAGAAACTTTGTCAGTCTCTCAGTATACTTCCTGTTTCTCTTCCACGATACAGTATCCCTTGTGTGCATATTCTATTACACACTCAATGTCCAGTGTAGACAAGCCTCAGCATCTTAACTCATAAATTCTGCTTATGCCAAACATAGCTCACACTTAAGCAGTAACTGCAGTTAAAGCAAAAAGAGGCCATGAATTAGAAAACAATACAATGTATATGGTAGGGGTTAGAAGAAGGATAAAGATGAAAATTAAGCAACTGTTGTGCCCAAAAATTCTTTTAAAAAGTTGAAATAGGCTTTATTGCCAGGTGCCCCAGAATCAAAAGGTTCATATTAAGAGCAAATCATGTTTTAGTCACACATTTTCTCTCAGGATGTTCATCTTAAACCTGCAAAATAACAGTTTTTTAAAGCAGGGTCATGCCATTTTATCCAGTTCTATTTTGTTCAGACTAGTGTGTCTTCTATAATTTGGTCATAATGTTCCATTCTTTATCCAGACTTGATTCCCTGGTCTGTGGATGCTAGAAACAAGTCAAAACATTTATCTATTGCTATATATTTTGTTTGTTCCAACAAATAAAGCTTGCCTGGTGATTAGAGTCTTTGAGTGACCACCAGTGGACCAGAGGATCTGGCAGGATGTGGCTCATGCCTATAATTCCAGCATTTGGGAGATGGAGACAGGATCTCATCCCACATTTGGTCTGAGGATTTGGGCAAAAAGTGAATTTGGCTGCTGACTTGTTTCTCTATTCTGCCTACTTTACCCCAATATCTGACACTGGGATTTTATTACTAATACTAATTAGGATCACATGTCAATCAATCAACTACTTATTTCAAATGTGCACTACTTTCAAAAGAGGGAAGTTTTCATGTTCCTTCTTGTCTATCAAATTTTGTGCTGGGACTGCAAAAGCTTTAAAGTTGGCCATTGAACTCAATTCTTACAAAGGAGGGCACTCATTTACTGGTCTATTTTTCCTTCTCACTGATCAGTTAAGGCCCAGCCTTGAAGCATTTGCAGGATTTTCTTTCCAAAACGGGGCAGAAGCGGGATTATGAGTTCAATGAAATTCTCAACTGCATAGTGTAAGGCAAGCCTAATCTACAGGAGACATTGCAATAAACAGAAATAAAGAATCAACATAATTTGAGAAAATAAGAGATTTTTAATAACCTGGTAACCATAAGGAACAGAAAGAAATAAGAGATTAGAACAAGGATAAATTTAAAGGAATTCAAATTTAAAAGTTGAAACTCAGAATTGTTTTTAAAAAGAAATATAACTAAACAAACACATAGCTATACTGACTTTGCAAAAGAGAAAATCATTCCCTGGCAGAGGAATGGCATAAGATTCTACTTCAACCTGCTCTTATGAAAAATGGGACCTTATGAGACCTGTCATCTGAAATACAGCTAATGGATATAACAATGACAACAAGACTGAATGTATCTATATATGAGAGCTCCTTCTTGGAAATTTCCTATTTATTGGCTCAATTAACCTTCCCACATTGTATACAGAAATCTGGCCTGACTTCATTTACATGACATGGCTTAATAAAGCTGAGAAATAATAAAATTATGTATCCGTCTACAATCATATCTTATTTCATAATGGTGACTCCACAATGGTTTCCTTCACTGTTTCCCCTACAGTGTGCAGACTAAACTATTCCACCTATTATGGTCTGAAGGTAGAAACCATGCTCTACACACAAATCCTTTTTCTATTACTGAAATGGACAGTTGACTACAGGAATCAAATCTGTAATTTTATAACTGAGTGATAATTGAGTTGTTTGATCTAAGAATTTAGTTGATTTAATCATGAGAAAAAGGTCACTTCCCTCAGGAGCAATGGAGTGGGGTGAAGGCTACATGATCAAACATAAGAACTTAAGATTCAGAAACATTATTCTACAAACTGGAATACAGTTGTTCTAGAATTAATATGCTTTACTATGCATAAATCATTTCACAAATTTAAAAGTTTAATAAACAAAATCTCTACAACAGCATGCATCCAGGGTGGTTAATTTTAAAAAGAGGAGCCTGAAAAAGGTTTTGCATTCCACATAAGCTGTCATCTTGAAGTCTCTTTTGGGTTCAGGTCCAAGGTTATACTATGAACAATTTGAAAAACGGACTGGAGAACCCAGGCAGTGATGGTGCATGCCTTTAACCCCAGCACTTGGAAGGTAGAGGCAGGTGGATCTCTGTGACTTCAAGGCCCGCCTGGTCTCTAAGAGCTATTTTCAGGACAGGATCCAAAGCTACAGAGAAAGCCTGTCCTGAAAAACAAAATAAAAAACTTCCAAACAAAAACAGAGTCAGAAAAAGGCATGTTTAACCACTTAGGCAGGTGGAGATTTTAAGAGCAAAACTATATTCTTGAATGTGCATGATGATGAGAAATTCTAATAGAACTTAATCTAAGTTAGTTTCTGATAATACTATCAATCTTTTATTTCTTCTGGGTCATTAAGGTTGAGGAAAAGATAAACTTGTAATATCAGCCTTTCACACCTCACTGTTATTAATGGCATGTTTATGAGGCTGAATAGAAGCCTCAGTACTTAGAACACTGATTACTCATCCACAGGGACTAACATTGATACCCAGCACCCACACCCACAACTGTCTGAACATCCAGTCACAGGGGAATAGACACCGGCTTCTGATCACCAATGATACCTTTGGTATACCCCCTGGCCAAATTTCTACGTCTAAATTAAATTTCATTTTTTTTCAAGATAACAAGCACACAAAGAATACCTATTTACAATATAGAATTAAATACATACCTGTCTTTTCAGCATTTGCGGGAGGGCAGAATGAACCAGATCTTCAGGGCCTGCAATTACTGGGAGGTCTGGCCAATCAGATGTGGTGCTACAAATCAGACTTGGGTACTCAAGAGGAGCAGTACTCCTGCAATAACTCTCCAGGTCCCACATATGTCATTACAACGCTGAACATGAAGGTGTCCCACTGTTCCTTCTGCCTCTTAGCATTTGAAGGATATAAAGACTCTCTAGATGGTTGTCAAATGAGTCAAAGGACTGAATATTAATGGAATTCCTGTATTGCTTATTGTTACTGCCATCACAGTTGTCTTAATGTTAATAAAGATTTAAAAAAAGGGGTTGGTTGAAATCAATCTGAGTCCAGCCATATTTTATTAGGAAAAGTTCCATAATTTGAGATAGGCTTTTCTTTTTGAAATTTTTGAGACAGGATATTTCCACATAGCCATGAATGTCAGAAATTTATTATGGGGAACAAGCTGGTTTCTCTGAGATTGGGCCCACCTGTACTCCCATGTGCTGTGATCATAGCCATGTACCTCTAAGTTCAGCTGAAATATGTGTTTTTAAAGGACTTATCCTTGAAACTAGAGAAAGAAATTATAAAATAAGACTTATAGGGAAGCCGGGCGGTGGTGGCGCACGCCTTTAATCCCAGCACTCAGGAGGCAGAGGCAGGCAGATCTCTGTGAGTTCGAGGCCAACCTGGTCTACAAGAGCTAGTTCCAGGACAGGCTCCAAGGCTACA